CTCAGAATTTAAAACATGCAAGAGAACTCTAAGACTATAGTCCTTCACATACATATTAGAGATAACAAAGCAAAAACGTAGGTTGCCTATGAAAGGCACATACAGATCAAAATAAAAAGATCGTCACTGCAGAAACAACCTATTTGTGCTAAATGTCTTGTTTATTTTGTCTTAAGGCAAATTCTCACATATTTTAACAATTAAATAACCATGCTCAAATAGTAACCAGCATGGAATGAAACATTCTACTCTCCTTATGGAAAGAAAAGTTTGTTTGTGCCTCAGCAGGTAAGGTAACACAAAAATACACTAACTGGAGGCAGGCATAACAAAACTGCCATTTAAAAAATAGAAGAGAAGGTACTAAATGGGAAGGTAGCAGGACTAAAAGCACAGTTTAGACCAGAAAGCTGGAGAGGAGCAAGGATTAGTTTTTCAGCCTGCACTGACCTGCCTCCTGAAAGTGGTCCCATTGATCCGAGAAAGCTTTCTCACTGTGGAGCTAATAGCCAGCCTAAATACAGCTGTGAAACTTCAAAGAGACTTTTTTTATAGCACACAGTCATTGAGCTCAGAACTAAAGTCCTACAGAAAAATTTCTAAAATAATCTGAAAGGAAGAATTCTTAGGATAGAATGTCTAAAATATAAATTCAGAGTACCTGTTCGTCACCTTGTTTCATCTGATTCACAGAAAGGCAGCTGGCCATGATGGACAGCTTATGGTGTTACTCTGCTTTGCTATGTGGAAGATGGAGCAGGTTTAGCTGGACTGCAGGAGCTGTGCCAGCTACAGGAGACAGCATAATCAACCCTTGGCAAAACCTGCCTCATCATTCAGCCGAGCGTCTGCCAGCCAGAACCCCACTGCTTGAAGGATGGTAACACTAAGGAGAGACTTTCTGGAGGGGAAATTAAAATTCAGAAAAGAAAATAAGACAGTGATTTTTCTGGGGTTCATCAAGATTATAAAAGGCTTCTTTTCTCTCGATCCTCCAGGAAATGCAAAATTTGAAATAAACTTGGAATTTGTTTCATTTGGATGCTTTAAACGATTCCTTTGAGCCTGTAAGGCCTATGGTCCCTGAATAGACTTCTGCAGCTGCTGCACCTAATTTCATTTTGGCATGGAAAGAGGCTAAGGCATGTCTGTGCAATGCAGTCTTGCTCTTCTCCCTCAAGCAGGAGCTAGCATCGTGATGCAGTAAAATTTAAAAGCGCCTTTCATCACCTACATTTGTGCAGAGTGATTGCAACTTCAAACAGAACAAATACAAGTAAAGAAAGCAGAGCATTGTTTACAGGGTGACGGCTGATTGGCAGTCAGAGGTATAATTATGGATGATAAAAAAGGAAAAATAGAAATGCAAACTATTGATTTCTTGGAGTAATTTAGAGCTCTGTTTCTGATGTTGATCAACAAGGCATGTTCGCTTATGATAGTCCAAGGAGAGTTGTGGTATTCACATGTCACTTAGGACAGCGAAGGTTGAAGGGACATACTTTTCCCTACCCTTGTTTTTATGGTGATCGAAATGTACTTGAAAAGGACTGCTGTCTGAAATAGATATAGGATTTCAGGCTTTAATGTAAATTGGTAAACATATTGTCATAATAAAAATCAAAGCAAAGCAATCACCAGCAATTCAAAATCCCCAGTATTATCTCGGATATAGGGATAAAAATATGAACTCTGTCAAGCTGTTTTAGCCTAGTGCTGTGTAAAAAGCAATTTAATATGGATCACAGAGAAGTCAGAAACCAAGACACTGCTGATCCAGAGATCAGCAATCACTGTCAAAGCAGACAAAGCTGCTGTTTCATAGTTCTTGGCCTCTTCTGCATTGGATTGCAACCCAGCGCCTCCCTCCCAAGCTATCTGGGATTTGCTCCTGGTTAGAAGGAGGGGTGGCAGAAACTGCCCCTTTCTCACTCCCTGTCAATTCCGTGACACCTGAGTTGAGAAAACACCGCTCAGTTCAGTAAAAGACAGACAAATTGAGTGAGGGAAGGTTCACATATATTTTGTTTAAAATCTATTAAATATATCTAAATTCTGACAGATTAATGGTTTGCTCAGTTCCCACTCCCCATGAACAAAAGAATGATGCTGATCAGCAGAGCACCCTGTACTCTTCCACAGACTCTCCAACATTCTCTCCCATTAGAGACCAATCATAGAAATTAGGCTAAAATGAGAGGATTTTTTAAAAGAAAGTATACATGAACTTTGTTCTGAGTTGATTATTCTTCATTTTTAAGCTGGCAAGACTGGTAAGAGAAGAATATACTTTCAAAGTTTAACCTGCAAGGACAATTCCCATTTTTCCCTCAACTGCTTGCCTTGTAGCATCTGTAGGCAATACCAATTTTCAACTCATTTAATATCCTTAGCATAGTGTTAAAAAAAAAAAAAACAGTGGCGAGTCCTTGGTCTCGGCTTACAACACGTGGATTTCTGCAACTGATCACAATCAAGCACTTCACAGCGTTTAGTTTCTAAGAACACAGAAGGCCAGATACACTGCTGAACACAACCAGAGATAAATATCCTCTCTTACTGAAAATCAGTAGCTTGAACTCTAAAGAACTAACTTTAAACTTCAAGAGCATTATTTTGCAACATTATCTGCCCTGATTAAATAATATTCCAACAGATAGAAGAATTAAGCCTTCAAGATTGCAGGCAACAAGCAACATCATCTACGTCTATGGGACTCAATCATATTCGGCATCTTACTCTTCCCTCTTCTCTCCTCCTCACAGGATTTTATGGTGCTGCAAGACAGTTTCACTCTGCAGAGCAGCAAGGGGAGTCGGCTCACAAAAACACAGCAAAATTTAGTAGCAGAAGTTCAGGAAACTTGTTAAAAAACTTCTTCAACTTTTACCACTTCAAAAAATTGGAAAAAATAAGGATCCCTTCTAGTCTCTAAATACATGAGTTTTCTTCTGAACTTTTGGAAATTCAGGGCAAAAACTCTTTGAGTACCTATAAAATCTCAAGTAATGCATTCCTTTTTCCTGGAGGGTCTATCTTAAAACGCCTCTGATAACGCCAAGAGTTGATGTTTCATTCTCTGAACAGATGGTTGCCAAAAGGCCATATTAAGCGAAGTAACAGTATCTTGCACAAAAGCTCAAATGGACCCTCTGTGAAGTGAAACTAGTCATGCTTTAGAGAGAAGCGTTTTGCACCTTTACTTTATGTAAACAGGTGATCCTGAATCCTTTAACATCTAGATGGAAACCCAGACATAACGCATTTAAACCCCATTCCCATTGCTCATAATAGTCCTGAAATCCAGTATGTTGGTTTTCTAATATTTTGCGGTTTTAAATATACTTAAATACACATTTAATAGTTTATACCTTTGAATTACCCCTAGTTTTGAGCAGAAATTTGTTGAACAATTTATTTTCAGCTAAAAACATCTCACATTTGGAATCAAGCATATAATTTCTTATTCAGTCACCAAATTATTCTGAATATTTTGTGACCCAAACACTGTGGGGTAATAATTTATTTGGGTTATTAAAGTTGCTCTGACTTTAATCTTAAACTATAAGAATTTTTGGTCCAAATATATTGGCAAATTCTGAACTGAATCCATGAAATCATAATGAAACCCAAAAGTAGTCTTTTTCAGCTTTATTTAAAAAACAGCAGAATTAAGCCCAAAATCTTTTCTGATCACGTAAGACACAAAACTGAAACCAATAAAGAGCCAGAGAAAAGTTGTACAGCTTCATGGTCTTCTGAAATGATAGCTTCATGTCAGTCCATGCTATACAGTATTTCCATCTTAATCTGATATAGTGACTAGAGTTAAATAATACAGCCTTTTTCAGCTATCGCCTAAAATCAAGTACAGTTTACAGCATACTACATATATTTGTGATAAAGAGTAATACAAATAGTCTGCTGCAAACTCTGGTAAAAGAAATGGCAAGAACTGGTTTTATACAACTTAATTGTGTTGGCCTTGTATGGATCTTTTCCTGTTTTCCATGCCTAATAATCTGCATTGCAGCTATGTTGCTTTTTTTTTTTTTCCTCCTCAAAGCTCTTTTAAAGAAAGGACATTACTTAAAATGAAGAGAAAGTAATGTTCATTCTAATATAATGTACTGGTAACCAAGTCTGCTAAAATAAGAATTTTCATAGATCAGAAACAAAGGAGCACATATTGCTACCTGTAATTTGCAGTTTGGAATTCTTATAAAAAGAGCAAGTATTTAGCATCAGATTCTCGATTATGTTTGGTTATTTGTTTGTTGGGTTTTTCCCCCTCCTCTCTGTTGTACTCTTTTACTTTTTTGTTATAACATACAAAAAAATTGTAATTTGCCCAGCTGGAACATAAACATACTGCTGCCTTTGATGAATACCACTAAGTACTAGAGAGCTCTATAATGATGCTATTGTCATATGTACATATGTCTATTAAAATCTCTTCGTGTTGATGACAAAGATCAGTAGATTATAGCTTAGTTCATTTTCTTTATATTGTATTAATGACACCTACTGTTCTATAGGCTGAACTTGTAGTTATCATAAGGCATGCCTGCAAAAATGCATCTCTCTTCTGTTTCGTTTTTTTTTCTTGAAACAAGCTCTACTACGATTCCCTCTATCTTACAAACCAAATACAAATTTCAGCATTTCTTGCATGTATTAAGAGTTTAATATGGTATATGTTCTTCACCTAGGAAACCTTCCTTTTTCTGCTTTAGCAATTAAGATTTCTGTCTTTTTCTGACTTGAATGTTGAGCAATCCATTGCAATTGGACAAAACAAAATTGTACTGCTCATCTCTGTCAATCTCTGCAAATACCATTCTAGAATTGCACCACAAATCTTTGAAGTGTGTTAGATACTTAGTCTAAGATATAGAATATTTAGTGTAAGACCTCTCTATAAATAAAAAGCTGCAGTCTCCAACCTGCAATGACTGAATAACTGACTGAAATAAAGGGAGGAAAAGAAATTGTCATACCGGTGAACTCCACTGTTGCACATAATGATGTGACAAGCTCCAAGCCTGCTACAGAGTTCAGAAGACACTGAAAGCAATCCAACTCCGGAAGCACTGCACGCAGTGTACGCACAGGCAGCGGTGCGCTTGGATCGGATAAAGGACCCTATCAGTCGGTAAAGTTCATCCAAGCAATTGAGAGGCCTCATCAGCTGCAAGAGAGGAAGAGAGAGATTAAATATTTGCTCCTGAGAGCACATGAAACGCTCTTTTAGAGCGGGTCATCACAGATGCAGATGGAATGGCAGGGCTGGCTGAGAAAACTGAAGCCAAATTCCATAACATAAACACAGAGCACACAGACTTCTGTTACGTGACCTATGACAGCTTTTTCAAACTTTTAAATTCTTACTGTCACTGACTGTTTCATTCCCAGTCCTGCCTACAAAAGTGTTTTTCACTTCAATAGACTGAATAGACCCATCAGTGCCATTTCCATTAATGGCATTGGCAAAGATGGGACACCATGAACAGGCAACCTACAACTGTATGCACATACAGGAGGGATGCCAAGACTGGTTAACTGACTCGCTGAGAAAATCAGCTTATAATTAAGATAACACTGTCTTTTATTTATACAAGTGCCTAGTTCCTAATCGTGACTAACAACACGGAAAAATGAAAATGAATAGAAGTGAGAAAAACATACTACAAAACAAGAACAGTTAACTTCATAGCAGAACTTAGAATAACCTCAGCATTACCATATGGAAAATAAATGATCCACCTAGTAAATAAGGCAGCTTCAAGGGGAAGGCTGCTCTCAAAAGAGAAACCTTCAAGAGTGGTCTAGCAATGAAAAACATCATCTCATGGTGCCTTGTGTAAAAGAGATGTTCACAAGACAGTTTTGCAGACCTCATACATAATTCCAAATTCCCTATTCTTTTTACTCCAGAAACACTTAAAGATTGCAACAAACCCCCCTGCTACTCAAAGAATCAATCTTTTGAAAGACAGATTCATTCCCTAAAGGCAGTTTTAACCAATTCAGGAAATTACAGCCTCACTTGCTCCTTCATTGGAAAGCACAGAGGTCAAGTAAATCAATTACAACAACCAGTATATTTAACCTGGGCACAAACAGATTTAACTTGGTTTAGGTCCTATTGGTTTAACTTGCATCCACTTAAACTGATTTTAGCTGGTGCCATTTACTAATGCAGAGCTGTGGAGAATAGCGCAAAAGGCACAGCCACTAACAGATCACGCACTTTTAGCTTGCTCCAATTGCAAAATAAATGCATATAGCTTAACCTAGCATCCCTTGGTCAGATCTGGATTCTGAGGTGCTTTCGTCTTGCTCTTGAACTTTTCACTGAAACAAGGAACAGGTTTAAGGGTAACGAGCACTCCACATAAAGCTAAATGTCTCCCACTGCACCTGTAACTGCTTAGAAAGTTACATTGCTGGCTCCTCAGGGAAGGAGAGGCACAGGCACATGTCCTCCTTCCCTCCCATGCAGCCCATCATGGATCCAAGAAACAGGAACCATGTCACTTAACACTCATGCTGGACAATACTGACAAAATTTTCGTCGGTCATAGGGCTCAGCTTATGATCACTGTATTTCTCAAGCTACAGTAGCTCAATCACTTTTGAAATCAGCATAGGCAAGACCCTAGGAACTTGGTTTTTTCCCCCTATTGGGCTGCAATATGGGCAACAATAGCAAAGAGCATTAAATGAATTTTCATAGCCCCTGGGATTTCTCAGACACAGGGGTTTAAAGACAGATTAAGGCATTTGAAGAAAGCATAAATGAGGAAGTTCAGAAGAAAGACTTCTGAGCAGGGTGCTGAAGGAGTATTTAATCTGGAACAGCACTTCCAGTTTTCAGAGCAAAGAATTTCTGCCTGTACCTGCTCTCCCCCAAACCTATTCTTCCACTCCCTAGATACTCTTGGAGCAATTGCATTGCTCTGAAAGCACAGTGAAAGAGGAAAGCTATGGTTCCCCTTCTCAAGTATGTTGATGCCCTCGAGCCACACCCTTTGATACAGAACCACATGGCACCACATACCCCTAAAACACAGGTGGGCCAAGTGCTGCAAGGGAGCTCCTCTTTTCCCTGCCCACCCCCCTCGCCTCATCCTGCTTTAAATAATTCCGTTTTTCCATGGAATTAAGAAAGCCTCAGGAAAGGATTACAGTAACACAGGGTGTAATATGCAAAGTTTAATTAAGTACTTAATATTTTTATTTACCTTATCTATATAAGCCGCTTTAGATGTTGAATTTGGAGGCAAGTTTGACTTGTCCAGGTAGAATGCCCTGAAAGAACAAACAGAATAAGGCAAAAACTGTTAGTTGTTTAAACTCCTGAACAAAAGGTATGGAAGCGACTATTCTTAGACACCACCTAAAATCAGATATTTTTTTTTTTAATTTCATGCTAAAAGAGGATTTTATACTAGCTGTATATAGCTGCAATAATATAAAACCAGAATGCCAAACATAAAACACAGTACTGACAGAGGAAACCTACACAAGCTCACGACATAAAAAGAAATAAAAAAGCAAAAACCCTACAAGGAGCAAATACGTATCATACAAGCAAAACGGCATTTGCAATGTGTGTGCTCATGCATGCAGGTGCAAATAAAAACCAAACTGCCTTTCTTTACAATTTCTGCACAATTCTTTGAAAATGAATTAGTGCATGAAAGCAAAAGCCAAAGAAAACAGGCATGTACCTGCAGAACACAAATGGGATAGAGAAAGCATGCTTACTGTATCAGGTTTATCTATTGTGTACTAAAGCTTATCAGCCCACATTCTCCCAGTTCCTTATATAACCTTTCATTTAGCAATGAATAGTACCAGAAAAAGTTTCTGTAAAATAGACAAATGTAACATGCACTGTTCCAAAAGACAAAGGTTGGCTAATTTGTTTGTGTCATAAAGGAGGCTGATATTTGTACAGATGGCTTCCATGCTTTCCTTCTCTCCTAAAATAGGGAAACTTCTCTTATTCAACACTAGAAAGGAGCTTTAGCAAAGAGCACACAGGAGACACGGAGCTCTTCTCCCGTCTCCTTTAACCCAGGAACCCTAGAGGAATTTTTTTTTCTTACTACCTTATAAGCAAATTCATTGCTTACCACAGATGAGCTATCATTAAACATCTCATAAGCAGAGGAAATGTCTTACATATCTCTGTGATAAGATTGCAGTTTCTCTGCGGTATTGCTTAAGGAAAAAAAAAAAAATTGTCCGTGCCTATGGCAGATGATCTTTAAAGGTCTCTTCCAACTCAAACTGTTCCATGATTCTCCAATCACAAAACTCATTCTCATGGTTGAAAAGCTCCTAAAACCTGCTGAGGCAGTTGAAAATAGAAACACCTGGTGGACTTCCCTGCCTGGATGAGGCATCCAGTGAGAACCAGGCAACAGCCACCACTGCAGCAATTCTGGCAAGGTTAAAACAAAACAAAACAAGAAAAACCCCACTGAACTGTGGAACATGTAGGGGGAAAAAAAACCCAAACAAACGATTCTTGAGCGGAAACCTCAAGGTATCCCTATGATCCAGCTCCATTGCCTGTGCACAAGGAGCAAAGGTCAGAGCTGAGCCACAACCAGGCTGGAATGATGCAGTGTGGTCACCAAATTTCAGTTGCAATAAGATACGAAAATAAACACTGAAAAGATTCGATCCTTGCATCCTAACTCTCAAATGACAGGATCACCTGGATCTTCCAGTCATGAAAACGTTGATTCATATAACACATATGGATAAAAATAGCTCTCCCCACTTTTTAATTGTTCTATCCATGAGAGAAGTTATTCACATTGTTACATACTTGCAGGGCAGGGGTGCAGACTGCAGATTTGAATCGCCTTTTATTCTTCAGTAATCTGCAATAACTGAGCTGACAAAAACAAAATCCAGCCACCTTTAATTCTAGTAGACTTTGCTTCCCATAGCTTCGCAGTTTTGAAAAGCATCTTCTCCCACATTTAAGGTCTGAATTAATCCACTCAGAAAGCACAGCAAAGCTAATCTAGTTCTATTATTCCATTAAGCCTGTTGCATGATCCAGAATGTACTCTGTGTCAAAGGAAGCGGGAGACTATTGGAAGGAAAAAAGGTTTGCAGAGAAAATTACTCATAAATCACTTTGAGTGGCCACAGCACATAAAAGCTACCTCAGCAGCAACAGACCAACCTTTTTCTTTGTTAGCAAAGCTAAAAAACAAAGCATCGCCCTGCCATTCACTGAACATTATCGAACTGAAAGCCTATACTATTTTTTTCCTGCCATGCCATAGGAAAATGTGCTTCATTCAGAGTCTGTTCAGCACTCCCATGCTCTTTGGACTGTTATTTCAGTAAATTCAGATGCATTAAATGAAACTAAAAACTAAATATAGAACGGTACACACATTAATGGAGTACACGAAAAATAATCAACTCAGGGTACAAACCCAAGCAACATCGACACTAGAACAGGATATACAATCATAGGAATTACCCCATTAATTCAGCCAATTATTCATTAACCTAAAGAACAAACAAAAATCAGCTATCCACAACATTAATTTTAAATATAAAAATATCCCGTTACAAATGAAACTATTCCCCCCTCCACAATCAGATAACACTCCCAGATGTTTCTCAAGTGCTTTATTTTTATTGCTTTTCATAAAAACTGTCTTCAGTATTTTACAGAACATGACAAACTGTGGACAGCATATAAATTTCCAAAGCACTTCACTTAATTACTAAATGCTTGTTAAAGTCCTTAATCATATTTTATGGGAAAAGTTAATAGCAATCCTGGCATGGTGCCCAATTTGGACAATATTTTCTAATCCATTTGAAATGAACAAGAATGAAATCATCGTTCTTTGTCTGCAAATGTGATGCTAGTTTTGCTTCTAAAAGCCTCACAATTTCTCTAAGCTGTAGCAGAAAAGCCTTTCTTTAAAATAAAAAGTAGAAAATCCAATAGGCATTAAAACTACAGGGGATCATTGCTGTGTTCCGCTTTTGTAAGGTATCCCCTATATAACAATGTCAAATAATAGGACAAGTAAACCAGGGGAAACTTGCACTGGAATGAGGTAACAAAAGAAAAGTTTTTTTTTTTCAAAAAGAAAAATCTATCACAAGATGAATGTTTTTCCAAGATGTTTTCCCAGAACTTGAGTACAAAGGAGATGCAGAAGTATTACTGGTTTTTTACTAGTGAAATATTTTACAGGGTACCCTTCAAAATTGATGTGGACATGTAAAATCCTGAAAATGTGAAATACTGAAAACCGAACTCTAAGGAGGCTCCAAATCTGTACAGACATGCATTCCTGAGTAACTTCATACACACAAATAATTCAGGCAAAGCCAAGTTTCTAGTCTTACTCTCAGTTTGTTGTTCCAGAAAGCCTATAGGGTTATCCTAGATGTTGATCATCTTTTCTTTTAAATATAAGGATAGAAAAGAAGTGATTGGAGTGAGGGACAGGGAGGAGGGCAGGTAATTGCGTTATAGTAGTAAATAAAGGTAAATTGGGTGTTCTGCTCTAGAAAGGTTTTGCTCTGATGTTACAGCAGAGAAAAAGTTAGTCTTTTCTATTTTCTTCATCACTGTGGCATACATATAAATAAATTCATACCATCCTCAACAGAAGGATGGAAATGTGTTTTAATTGTACTCAATTTTCAATCCCTTGGTCACAAGATATTCAAGATCATGTAGACAAGCATGGTTAACACATGGCAAAGGATACATCAGTACAGAGGTACAGAGTCAAAAAGCACTAGAATTAGTATCCCTAATTCTTTTCTTCAGCACAAACTACAAAGCATACTATTTATAACATAGAAGTATATAGAAGTTGTTCCAGGGGAGGTTTAGATTTGATATTAAGAAAAATTTCTTCACTGAAAAGGTTGTCAAGCATTGCAACAGGCTGCCCAGGGAAGCGGTTGAGCCACCATCCCTGGAGGTATTTAAAAGACATGTAGATGTGGTGCTTAGGGACGTGGTTGAGTGGTGGACTTGGCAGTGTTAGGTTAATGGTTGGACTCTACAATTTTAAGGGTCTTTTCCAACCTAAATGATTCTATGATTCCTGGCTTACTCCAGGCTCAAAGTGACAAACCAGCTACTGTCAGTCTCTACTGTAAGTGTAAGCAAACAGAGCTCTGGGAAACAGTGCAGTCTACAGGGAGGAAGATGTGACTGTAAGATGAGACAAGCAAAACACTCAGAAAAGAGGAGAATCATTAGATTTAATTATGCACAGAAATATCTACAAGTTGGGAGAGGTATTAAGAAAATTTCAAGAAATTAAATTTCAGGGCTTTCTTGGCAACTGTCTGCTTTAGTAGAGTGGACTGGGAGCATAGCTGGGACAAAGACTTTCAACCCTGAAAAACCAAATTCATGATAAACTGCACACTTAAACAGAGGGGATGATTCTTCATAGTGCTCCTCATTTTCTTGTGAGTCTGCAGCATCTGGCTAAACTACTGGTCTCTCACCAATTTAAACTCTCTCCAGTCTGTGAAAAGGGCATGTTGAGAAATTGATGTTAAGATAAGTACAAGTATCTGATGTGTAAACTAAGGAGGATGCTTGCAAAGACACTGCCCTACTATCCCAGCAGGCACATCACAGCCTTACTCTCAAACCTTTATAAACATACATGCAGCAGATCATAGAAATGTCAGCGCAGAAATATGAAGACAGAAAGTCATGGACAACAAAAAATGGAAAAAATACAATTTGCTCTCTGTAACACTGTCCACTTTTCACATGCTATATTTTAATCCCTATTTTTCCAAGAATCTAGTCTCCAGCATCTCTACCTACTTCCTGAGATCACTTGAAGCCATCCTATTTGTGATGTTAAAGGGAAGTTCTCAGGCCACAATCCAGTTACAGCTGCCTTCCAGCTTCTCCCATCATTATCCAAACAGCCGAATCCACACTGAACCCATTAGTACAAACTAATTGCTTCCACATTTGCCTTTCAGACAGTAGATGTCTCCTTTATGGCTCCTGATATTCCAGACATGGAATACACTGTTAAAAAAGACAACACGCCAAACAGTCATTGGGTGGTCAGGGTTTCTACTACAGCTACGAGCTGGACAAGCTGCAGGCTCGGGCTGGATTCCCATCAGTGTCCAGGAGTGAAAGCAAAGGCTCCACCTTTGATCACTGCGGAGATGTGTTCTCTGCGTTTGCAGAGGATAAAGCAAGTAGAATGAACCTGATGGCCACCTCAGCAAGCAACGAACCAGTATATATAATCTATCAA